TGGGGAAATAGAAAGTTCACAAAGTGAAACTAAAACTGACCCCAGCTTCTCTGTTACCAGTGGGGTCCATCGTTACGATCCAAGATTTAACAAATGGACACAAATCACAGGAATGCTGGAAAAAAGATGTCAGTTTTCTTGCTGTGTCCTAGGCAACAACATCTTTGCTATTGGTGGAAGAGGTGAGAATGGATCACTACATTCCTCTGTGGAGGTCTACAATATCACCAGGGACAGATGGACGAAGGTTGTGGAATTGCCATGCAAGATACATGGGCATGCTAGCACAGTCTGCAAGAACACCATATACCTCTCAGGTGGCAAATCCATGGAACAAACAAACACAAGTAAAGATGTCTACTCTCTTACCACCGTAGAAGGGCAGTGGACGAAGCAAGCTCCTATGACCATTGCCCGGTTTGGACATCAGATGGCAACAATCAGAGATGCCATCTTCACATTTTTAGGACTATATGAACCATTCTCCGAAATAGAAAGGTATGATCCTAGCCAAAACCAGTGGACTCGGCTAAGGCCTTTGGTCTATGATCGCTTTTGCTATGGCCTAGCAGTGGTAGAGGAGACCGCGCTTCTTATTGGGGGGAAAAAATGGCAGGACTCGCAGGAAGTCCCAACCCAAGATGTGGTGGGTTATGATATTGACAATGATTGCTGGGAAGAAATTTGCAAACTTCCCTTGCCTTGGTATGGACTGCAGTGTGCAGTGCTGCAACTCTCAGAATCAGCAGCAGCTAAGGGGGACACCAAAGAGCAAAGAAGCCAAACTGCTGAGTTAACACTTCATTGAATAATCATCCTCAAAGATAAGACAAAAGAGCAGCCCTGGAGAAAAAAAGAAAATTGCAGTGGCACTAAATGCAACAGAGATTAACTTTTGCTTTAATAAGCAACACATACAATGGATATAGACAGGGAAATCTCTCATTAGCATGGGAAAATGTGCCATGATTTATACAGTGAAAAACAAGATTTGCTGAGGACAGATGCGGGAAGTAGCACATTCTGAAAAGAATCAGCAAAGGAATTCCTAATGCTGTATTTCCTTGGATGACTATTACCTAGATAGCAGTTAACAGCTGCCTAAAGTCAGATTTTTCAAAGGTTAAAAATATAATCCTTCTTTTTTAATTAAAGGTAATTTTCCCAGCTGGTAAGTGGTATTGTGTTTTATGCTATAGCTAAGCAAAATGAAAGTGAAATGTATAAAGACCAGAAAATTGTTGCCTACAAGAGCTATAATAAGTAGCATCCAGAGGATGGTATTATTTGAGTTTCTAGCTAGGTGAGAGGGCCTTAGCTAAACAACATGAAATTACTGTATGGAGAGCAGGGATTGTGCAAAATGTAGCCTTAATTATGGTTACACACTAAAACATTGATTGTTTGATGTAAGTACTGAACTGAGAGGGGAAGCAACCTCTCTGTGAAATAGCTTTTGTTGTGGCATGTGCTTCAGGTGGTTTTTTTTAAAGCATACTCTGTACTGGCACAGTACATATTTGTTGTATCAAAACCCTGTGTTAGCTTAGGCAGCCAGTGCTGAATAGGTATAATTATTATAAAAGTTTCAGTAGAAAATGCAACAATAGCTGCTACATCCAGCTACCTAAGTAAGTACATCCTGTGTACCATGTTCTATGAAATCATGATCATGCTGGTAAAATTGTTTTAAATGTTGAACCAGTATATAAAAGTAACGTAGTAATAAAAGCTTTGCTTTTATCCAGAAGTACAAAGGAAAGGAAGTTAATATGAATCTTTTGAAATTCTAAATGAAATGCCTGGCTACACCCAAGACAATAACAGCTCTGCTTCTTGTTTGCAATGATAAGATATGTATAAGGAATAGCTTGTGAGGTGACTTTTAAGGCATAATGACTTGTGATCTGCAGTTATGCAGCTAGATACCCAAGTATGAAATCCGAATTGAGTAAATTAATATGTAATCATATATATTTGTTTAAAAGCTAAATTTATTTTGCTTCATTTTACAGTGTTCCCTTTCTAGGCTGAAAGTTGATACAGTAAAAATATACATATAGAAGAACATGTTATGTTCTTGTAAAAGAAGGCAGCACGATGAAGGGGACAAATGTTCTCTGTCATGCCACACTATCTTAAAAACCTGTAATGTTTAATTTTCACCTTTAAAGCAAACAAGCTGACTTTACTTTAGTAAAGTGCAGGCAGAATAGCTGTTGCATAGCAACAGATCTAAGTCTTCTCAACTGCCTTGGTTTTGACAAGGAATCAACTCCACAATGTGCATATACATCCATCAGATATAAAGAATTTTTATATGAATATATTTACTTTTGGTCCAGTAAAACAACAATGAGAGAGTCTAAATGCTTGGAACAATCAGCACAATTCATTTTAGGTCAAGCATTTTCTTTTGTATGAGAAATACAAAAACCTCACCAATTTAATATACAAGTCAGTATCCATGCAGTAAATAAATGTCCAGTTTATACAAAGATTCACCTAAATGATACAAATATTACACTGGCTCAAGAATTCTATACAAATGTTAATATGTGATTCATTGTCCATATTGACTTGAATATAGGATTATTTAAAATGGGCTGCAGAAAGGCCACTCTGCTGTACAATTGTGCAAATTCTGCAAAATAGTTGCAATCCAAAATGCAAATAAAACAAAACAGAAGAAAACAAATAAACAAAGACACACCCCTGCAGTCTTCCCTTTATTCCTACAGCAAAGATAACCATCAGTAAATATCAGAGCTGTTAAATACATTCACTGAGCTGTACAGACAATAGTCTAAAGCTGGTGAAGGGTACAGCTCATAGTAAAGAGCAGTAAACAAGGCTTTTCCCTTTCTCCAAATCATTCCATGGCTCCTAACTTATGCAGCAAAACACTAAAAGAAGCAGCACAAATATTTTGCCATGCTCTGATCACTTTTCAAAAACAAGCCAATGAAGGATAAATACGTGATTTACCTCCTACCTTCCCTTTTCCAGTTGCATGCATGAGCCCAGCTAACCACTCCACTCCTGTTCCCTGTGCCTCAAGTCTTATAAGTTGTAAGTTTAAAATATATGTATTGGTTTGTGAACTTAAAGAACCTGGAGATATCTTTTCCCAATCAAAAGCAAAAATAAAGCTCTTTAGTTCTCAGTATTTTTTCAAATGATGCATTTGACCTTGCTAACTCTATGATTTTTTCCTGCACTGAAAATGGCCAAATTTCACATCAGAAAATAAATATAAAGCTAGTTAAAAAATGTGATTATTTTTTTCTTTCAAAGTTACATCTCAGATTCAAATCATTAAGTTGGAATCTCCTTCTTTAGCTGCTTAATTGGGTGACTAAAACATCTCTATCAAAAATGATCCACATTTAGTTTCTTGTTTCTAAAAATTGCACTTAATCCTGATACCATGATCCTGCATATGTTTCTGATACAATAATAAAAAAATAATACTTATATTAATGGGAGAATATCACATCATAAGGTCTTAATTAAAATATAAATAACCTGCTCTGTAGTGCTTGTAAACCTGTACCTATGTATAGGTCTCTTGTAACCTAGGTTTTAGATCCATGAACTTGTGTCAATGATTTGTTTGTTTATTTTTCCCCCTTTATCTGATGCTTGTCTTCTCCAAAACTCAGATATAATGACCATGTTACATTTCTTCCTGTCACTTAATAAAAACTCCTAGTTTTTCACCGAATATAAAAAAGTTCTTTTTCCTACAACCAAAAGCAATACCCGCACTCCAAAATTGTAATGCAATACTGCAATTCTATAGTATAAAATTAAATTACATTTTAAAAGTGATCAAATGACATTCAGTAGCAAAACCTTGATCCTGTATAACTTTCTCCTTGAAGGTCACCAGCTTCCAAAATGTATTTTTTTAAAATAAATTTTTCATTATTAAAGACTATCTTCCTTTTATTTTGCACACGGTAAACACAAGCTGAGCATTAGTAGCATATAAAATATACAAATTCTCATTAAAGACAATGGTATCATGGACCCTATTGGGTTTACTTCACACAGCTAACATTAAAATATAATTTACTAGACCTCCCACATATTGATATAAAAACTACTTTATACACATAAGTAAAAGTGTAAGGTATCAGATAGACAAAGAAAGAACACCCTTATACATGCGTTTCAATGTATGAATGAGTGTGCGCTAAAGAGGCTATGAGTGCATTGACTTCAGAAGAGCCATTTACAGGGTCCTGTGGATTACTGCTTTGACAGATATCCAAGAACAGATCAAGGTACATTTGTTTCCATTCCTGAAAGTCTTTAGATGTCAAATCTGGATTATCCAGAACTTTATCTATAATGGCTACCTCTCCTTCTCTGGCCTGAAAAAGAAGGGGAAAAAAAAAGAAAAAAGAGAGGGATAAATCGTTACCAAAAGCAGTTTGTAAAAATGATGGCAAATGTAAGAAAAGGGGATGAAAAAGTCAGACACAAAGACACTAGGGGTACCTGTAGATACGCGGGACATCTGCATTGATACACTTTAATTACAGTGCGTCACAGCAGACTCGATTAATCTAATTAGCATGCTCCAGGAGCCTTGGCATCTCATTTATTCAGTGTCCCTGTGCTTCAAAATGGCAGCGGGGGTGCTTTAACTAAAGTTTGTTAAAACTAAAGCTCGTTCAACAAACTTTACTTAACTGTTATTTTGAAGTACAGGACGTTGAATACACGTCATGCAGTGGGAGCTTTAATTAGAATGGCTCCCAAGACCCACTCTAATTAAAGCATTCCCCAATCCCCAGAGCATGTTTAAAGATGCCCTTGAAGAACAACAGATTGTGCCACTAGTTTTTGTGCACAAGTGTTACAGAGGAATTCAGCTTAAAACAATGATGTTATACATGGCTCAAGATATGTGACATCTCCTGGTTTGCAGGGCTTCTTATACTAATAATTCTTGTTACCTCTTGTTCTGTCATGTAAAACAAGCCTTCTGCTGTTTACTATTAGCTGCTTGAGTTTCTCAGGATGGGTTTCATGCTGAAAAGGACCATCTGTTTGCTCCTTTAATCATCAGAAGAAATACTGTGTTAGCGTGTGGGATGCAAACAGATGGACTATCACCACCCAGCGTACCTAAGCATTTCTACGTATCTATTCTCCTATAAGCACCTCATATGGAGAATTAAGCAAGGAGATTTTAACCTCATAACTGATATTTTTTCAAGATCAGAGATAGGATGAGACCAAGGATGCAGAGAGAAGTGCAGCTCCCCACTGTAACTGAGAAGGCTTTGCAGGAAGCGCTCTGAGTCACAACCACCCCCCCAGACCAAACAGAAGTTCACTGTTGATTCCAGGGGGGAGGGGAATCTACTTGCTGGCTGGGAGCCTGCAGCCAATTTCCCCTAGCAATGGCACCTCCTCCCTCCCAGTCTGTTCCTGTTTTCAGAATGGGAGAGGGGCAAGGGAAAGAGGGAGCTCATTTTTGGGGTTCCCCAGCCAGCACTGCAGGATAGAGTGGGTGAATTGGAGCCCCCCACCTTGGGGGGGGGGACTCCAGTACACCCTCCCCTCTCCAGCAGGGGCTGAAAAAACCCCACATCAAACTCCCTCTGCTCCCTTTCCTCCAAACCATTCTGAAAACAGCAACCAGATCTTCATCTACCCCCTCATGCATTGAAGGTTCAGATTTTTGCCTGATCTGCCATTTTTAAGCAGTCTGCAGCCATGCACTTGTGTTTGGTCATGGCTATAGACTGCTATCTTTGCCCAGATCAGGGGAAAATTGTCACTTCTGTCTGCATCCCAAGACCCTGGTTCAGTGGAATTTCTTCAAGTCATTGTGGTAGAACAAAAGGGATGAAACCATATAGCTGTCCCTATTAAGTTTAGAGCCAAACTAGCCTGCTTGTGCCCCATTCACCTGCTGTCAAAGGCATACACAGATGAGTGGCTAGGGTATGCTGTGCTCTCTGGCTGGTGGATGGCCTCTTGGGGGAATACAGTTATCTGGCATAGCAAATCCCAGTCTCATTTGGGCACATCTATACTACTTCTGCAGTGCTCCCTGGAACGCTGCTATAAAGCATGTCTCCCGTAGTTCTTGCTCCATGTGAGCCGATCCTCAATATAAGGCACTAAAGCCATCCTGATGGCAATCTTGTGGCAGAGAGCTCAACAGCTGGAGCAGAGGCTGGGACTACCATAGAAGGAGTATAGTTATAGACATATCCTTTGCGGCCACTAGACTGATAGAATTGAGTTTGTAGAAATAGAATTAGCATCCAGGTTCCTAGCATTAGGACACACTTAGTCACAGTAATGACCCTGTTAATCAACAACTTCTCCTTTACAGATCACTTGAGAGAAATGTTATGATAACTAATACTTCTCATGTTTATTCAATGTGGGTGATGCCTGTAATTAAGAAAGATAGTTGCACTGCATCAATCTGCTTTGTCTTCCACATGATTAATTTTGAAGATCCAGTCACGTTACAAATAAGGAGCACATTTAAAATATCTTTAAAATACCTAACATTTAAAGTGATTTTCATGTGTAGAGTGTTTGGCAAACATTAACCAATTAACACTCCCTAAAGTAGTAGCATACATACTCTGGAGACAGGAACACTGACATAAAGGTTACAGAAGTAGTGAAAAACATCAGAGCTGAGATTAAAATGCAGTAACACCTGGTACCGGAGCAAGTATATCTGTAGTATACATAGTGGTACTGTGTTAGTGAGATTGTTTATATACTATGGGTATGTTCATGCCTCTGTATTACTAGCCGGTAAGTTTATATTATCCTGGAGCAAGGATTGTCTTGTAACACGAAAGAGGGTAGGGAAAGCTTTTCATTAGTGACTTGGAGTATAGTATAAAGCAGAGTTGGGCAACTGGGCTGTATCCAGCCCACTTAATGGTTGGATCTGGATGCTAAGGTCTGACTCAGCCTGGGGTGGCATGGGAGAGCGGGCGGAATGTGGCTGCACCAAGCATCCCAGCCTCTGCAGCCCTCCCTGCTGCTCTTTTGTGCCTGTGCTTCCCTTGCTGCAGAATGGCCACATATCTGTAGTGGGGTTAGAAGCACAGACACCTTAGGTGCCCTGGGGGGCAGAGATATTTCAGCCCTCAGCAGGGGGCCAGGTTGCAGGATCCAGCTTGCGGCAGCAAAATGTTACCAACCCCTGGTATTAACAAATTTGTAGCTAAGAAGGGCTGCAAGCACTTTAGAGGAGAAGATTAAAATTCAAAGTGATCTAAAAAAAAAAAGTAAAGAAATTATTTGAGATCAACAAAGTGGAAGCTGACAAAAGGCAAATGTAACATGCTAGACTTAGGAAGCAAAAATCAAATGCACAAGTACATAATGAAACATGCCTGGATAAGCAGCAGGTTGGTAGGAAAAAATCTGAGAACTGCGGTGGACCACAATCTCAATATGACATAGTAGTGTGCAGCTGGTATAAAGAATTCTGGGTTATATTAATAGGAATATTCTATGTAAAACCTGGGAAGTAATTATTCCAGGAGTTCACTATACTCAGCAGGAGGATTGCATCCAGTTTTGTGTACCATTCTTTGAGTAAGATGTAGACGATGGGACAAAGCCCAAAAGAGAATGAAAAAATTGTTTAGAAAATGTGACCTATGAAGAAATGTTGAATGAACTACAGTTGTTTAACCAAGGAAAGAAGAAATTAAAGTCTTCCTATATGAAAGAAGTTATAAAGAGGACATTGGCTGATGGTTCTCCAAGACCACTGAGGGAAGAACAAGAAGAAATCAATTTAAATTTGCCACAAAATTGATTTAGGTTAGTTATAAGGAAAAAAAATCTAACAATAACCACTGCAAAAAGCTATGTGGAGGTACTGTGACTCTCCTTTACTGAAAGTTTTTTAAAATCTCTGGTTTTTAAAGTCAGGGATGTTGCATATACTTGGCCTTGCTTCAGAGCAGCAAAACAGATTAGATAGTCTGTTGAAATCCTTTCCAGCCCAATATTTTTAGGTTCTTGGGTCTATTTCTGGATTTGTTTCAGATTTCTAGCATGAGACTTTAGCAAAGCCACTTAATTCCATGCATATTTTTTTTCCTATCTAGGTCTCACATCTGTAAAAGAGCTACATACATGCTTAACCGTATGTGCTGTAGATAGCATAAATCACTTCAATGGGAAAACACTTACTGAGTGATATCTTTGCAGGATTGGGGCCATATGTAGGTAATGCTGTTCAAGTACTACCCAGGACATTGAAAAATGAAATACATTACTGTTGGTAAAGTGCCTACATAATCCAACTATTTAGTTGTCTAATAAAAGATATCAAATCTACCCAAAGAAACCCGTCTACATAATCCCATGCATTGTTACCTACCGATTTAAAATAGTGTTTAAAAAGGTAAATTTGACAGTTAATAGGGTCTATTGGCTGCATTTTAAAGAAACCTCCCTGCCAAATCTCTAATAACACGTCATGATACTTGTACAACAAAACAAAGAGGTGGACCAGGATGTTAAATTCTCTGTTCATCATCAAGGGTAATTATTCCCTATTGGGTTTTCTCACTACAGTGCATTACATTTCTAGACAGGCACAGTAAACATATAGCTATAACGTTTTAAAAAGAATTTCCAAACTCCAAAAGAATGACTTTATTTTTGGCTTACTCTCTGGTAATTATATGGCATGTTTATTTTGGTAAATGAAATATTCAGGGACAAAAACAGAGGCATGGTCTCTTCTGACAGCATGGACTTTAATTGTATTAACTTAGGCAGAGGAGGAGTTCAGTGAGATATTTAGCTACAGAAAAATACAAATGGATTTTGTCACCCACTCAAGACACTTTTCCTCACTGCTGAGAATGGCATTTGTCTATATTTCTCTTTTGTCCATTTTGAACACAAGGTCCAGACAGGACTGCAGCTGTATGCAATTAATCTACTGAATATAATACCAGAAGACTTGCCTCTTTGGAGGAATTCTCTTCCCTCTATTATCTCACCTTTAAGGTGCTTTTCAGAATTCGCAATTGGTGCAGTTTTTCATTGACTACAGGATCGCTACACCTTTTTATAAAAGACTTCTTGAACTCCAGCTTAGTGGAAATCCGATGTTCTCCTAATGGTGACAGGCTGGCTTGCTCCAAAGCTCTATACAAATCTTGCAGTGAGTCTGCTGGCTTTTCTTCTACAGATTCAGCTACAACAAAGAGAGCAGAGAGAGAGAGAGGGAGAACAGTGTATAATTAAAAAGTTTATAAAATTATTTAAACCTCCCTAAAAATGGTATTTTTAATAAGACTAGAATGGGATTACTTCATATGTAGGCAATGTATCTAAATTTCCCAAACTCCAGAAAAAAGACTGTAAATCAAACCTTCCCAAAAACTACTTTTCTTTTTAATTATTGTCTAAGTTAGTCACATCTGGATTAACACATGGGACATTTCATGAGAAACAGAAGCAAAACGTTTGACAACATGAAGCCTTACACAATGCAAAAAAAGAGAAAGATTATAGGCTCTAAGTGTACTGTCACAACAGACACTTTTAATTACAATTTAACATAATAGTAAATTCATAAGCTATTGTGAGAAATGGAAGTAATAGGAGCAACTACCAAGTGGAAAGGGATTTTAGAGAGGCAAGGATTTTTGTGGGTGATATCATTTATTAGACCAACTATACAGTTGGTTCAGTAAAAATACATCACCCACAGAAATTTCATGCTCCTCACATTTTTCCTGGACCATCATGGCTACAACATCACTCCAACATTATCAAGGAACTGCAGGTCATTTAAGTTTGGGAGATTTTGTCACACTATTACATCTCTATATATGTATTTTAAATATAGTGCTGGTAAAAAATTTGAAACCTGTGACAACCCTGGAGAGACCAACATCCCTTATATTTTTTTTCCCCAGTAGCTCATATTTTTCCACTCTAACCTGCCAATGTCCTAAGCCTACTTCTGGCAAAACCATTTGTAGGAATGAGATGGCTCTTCAGTTGACTTTAAACAAGTGAGTAATCCCATCACATGAAATGGATATACTCACCTGCTTAAAGTTCAGCACATGCCACTAAAGTAGGGCTTGGATTCCAAATTACCTAGGCTGAGTACAGACAGTCAAAAAGCCTGAGGCTGAATTGATTCAATCTTCTAAGCTGAACCGATAAGCAAGTGAACAGACATTCACTGTTGATGCCAGAAATGCAGCCACATGCCTGCAGTGGCCAGGCCAGAAGCCAGGGTGTGCTAGAGCATGCCTCCCTGCTCAGCTGAAGCAGACACCTTGGGCCAAGG